TAACTGGAGAAGTGTGATGGAAATCTGAGGGTCAGGAACTTATCCAAAGGCTGTACAGGTCTGCACTGGAACAAGAGACTAAATATGTAGTGAAAAACACTTGGAAGTAAATGTCCTTTAGTCCCTTCAGAGATAAGTATATTTATATTTATGTTTACTGAGCTCTGCACATCTTTGGGCTGGAAAGTTGTACTAAAAACTCAGAGATAAAAGGCTGAACCATTGGATTTCTTCTGATCCTCTTTTCTGTAGGATGTAAAGGAATGGAAATAGAGACACAAAGAGTTACCTGATTTGCCCTTTTTTGGAAGTTCAGTTAATGATTTCGGATTCTTTAAGCATTTTGTGGTTTTTACTTCCATAAATTCCATAATCATCAATTATAAAATGGCAAAGTAATTTTAGGCTTTCCTGTGCTTCAGAACTGTTTCTGTGCACTCTTGTCTGGCAGAGTTTGTGGTGCAGCCTGCTCCAGCAGTGACCTACAGAACCATTGGAGGCATCCTGGACTTCTACATCTTCCTGGGGGACACTCCAGAGCAAGTAGTCCAGGAGTACCTGCAGGTACCTTCACCTACAGGGATTATGCATCCAGCAGAATTTTTCAAAGTGCTTGGGATTTATTTTATAATATTCTTTTTCTCTGCTCCAAAATCCATTGCTCCATTAATCTGTAATTTACCCCGTGGTCATTGGAGCTGGAGGTGGTCTCTTAGAATAATTGAGGTTTTCTTGCTCCTGTCATGAGGACTAATTCCTGTTCACATGGCAATATTATGGGATGGAGAGTGTGTTTGCAGGATGTCTGGATTTTGTGATCACATAATATCACCAAGTGTCTTTTGCACTTCTTGAGACCTGCCTCAGTTCCAGTGACACCTTAAGGAGTGGGCATTGTCCCAAAATACCAGCATTTATTAAAACAAATACATAACAGGGAAACAATATTGTATTTAGGAGTGGGCTGCTCGTTTAGTGTGTGCTATTGGAGTAGACTTGAGAAATGTGGTGATGCCTTCTTCCGAGGCTACCCAGAAACAGAGGCCAGACAGAATGAAGGGAATACAAATCAGTTCTATTTCTATTTATTGAGGGGCCTCCAGGCACATTTAGGGCGGGTGAAGCCCCCCAGGGGCTGCACCCAAAATGTCCCACGGCTCCCGGGTTTCACACTTTGACAAGTTTGGTCCATTTGCACATTGGGGCTCAATCCTGCAATTCCAGCTGCAGCTGATGAAGGCATTTAGCCCAAGTTTGCTGCCCCAGCTCCCTTTTGTTGCCATTGCTGGGGCCTGGGGCACTGAGGTGTCCTTGATTGCCAGGCCTGGGGAGGAATTGTTGTGTGTGCCCAGAATGGGAAAGCAGCAGCTGACGCTGGGTGTGGAGTTTGGAGTTCTGGAAAGAACTGCAGGCTTACAAATGCATGGAAAAGAGAAAAATAAAATCCTAAGGGATCAGTGGATGCAGGGAAAGGGGATGAGGTGACACAGAGTGTCCAACAGCACGTGGGGTTTCTGTTTTCCCCTCGCAGCTTGTGGGACTGCCAGCACTGCCCGCCTACTGGAACCTGGGGTTCCAGCTCAGCCGCTACGGTTACGCCTCCCTGGACGAGGTGAAGGAAATTGTGGAGAGGAACAGGGCTGTCAACCTGCCCTATGTGAGTATGGAGCTTGGGGACACCACCCACACCCTACAGCTGCCTCAATTCCCATCAGTTTGGGTTAGGAAACGTGTGGTGTCAAAGTTTTTGTGCATTTTGATGTTAGACCCATTATGAGAACATCAGAACAAGGGGGGGTGGGTTTACTGCAGTTACATTAATTCAAACACTTTATTCTAATAATTTTTCTTGTATTCTTTCCAATTCTATCTATTTTTCCTCTCTTGAATTTTTTTTATTTTTTTATTGTCCTATGGACAATATATTATTGTTAATTGTCAGTCAAAGACAAAGTACAATGAACTTCTAAAATTAAATTTTAGGAGATATGAACCTAATGTCTTCAATAGAATCAAAATACCCTAATATGTAGCTAATATTTGGGAAGAAAATGGACTAATAAAAATCTTAACCAATCATTTCTCATGGAAAAGCTGAACTCTCTTCTCTTTCAGGACGCCCAAGTCATTGATATTGAGTATATGGAAAAAAGGAAAGATTTTACTTATGACAAAGTGAAATTTAAAGAGCTCCCTGAATTTGCAGCTTATTTGCATGACTATGGACAAAAATACATCATCATATTGGTAAGCATTTAATTACTCCTTTTTTCAATTGGGAACGCTTTCATTACAGTTATTTATTATTATTCTTTATTTATTCTATGTAATTACTGCAGTTATGGCCTGGAATAATGGATGGAATATCCTGATTTCTTCTTTTCTTTGTCATTTTCTGTTTCCTTTAGGATCCTGCTATCAGCACCCAAAATCTGTCTGATGGAAGTTCCTATGAAAGCTACAGGAGGGGAACAGCAAGAAAAGTCTGGGTTAACGAGTCAGATGGAGTAACACCATTACTTGGGGAGGTAATTGTGGTTTTACACGTTTGAATTTGATCTCTTGCTATT